ATGATAATCCTTCATAATGGCAGTATGCCCCCAAACTATCCTTTTGGTTCTATACTTTCCCCCGGTGCCTCATGTACTCTGTGAAGCAGACAGGGTGATCTTTGTAAAATGACTCAGATAATGACATTCTTCTGTGGAAAACCCTTCAGTCATCTCTTCCCAGATCTTAGAAGTAAACTTGGTGTCCTCACATAAACTATAGCTTCCGACTCTGATCTCCACTCTCACTGATCTATCTCCTACTCCCTGCCTTTCTGACTCTTCTGCAGCTACACTAGGCTCCTTGCTGATTCTTGAACACCCCAGTTTCACTTTCACTGCCATAATTTGTCCTTGTATTTGCTATTCCCCTTACATTCACAATTCTCCTGAATCCCCATGTCTCACTCCCTCACTTCCTTTGAATCTCTGTTGAAAAATATTTTAAATGAGTACTTTCCTGACTATATGATCTAAAACAGTACCTTGCCACTCTTCTTTTTATACTCCTTTATTTTTCTTAATAGCACTTGTCTCTAGATGATATGATTTATGTTTATTATCTTTCTCCTCTCAAATACACACATAAACATCAATGTAACTACATGAGAGCTGGACTTTGTTTTGTTCAATGTTGCATCCCAATGCCTAGAAGAACATCTGCCACATAGTAGATACTTCAATAACTATTTGCCAATCAACATTTAAATGAGTAATAAATATAAAATAAAAAGTGCATATTAAGTTAAAAATCATAAAAACTGACATGAAACACTTAAAACTCTGGCAAATTAAGGAATATGAATTATTTTTTTTTACTATTTAAAATAATGTAACCATATTTTATTTAACTACTAAAACAAGAAAACAGGCACATCAAGAGCATTTTCAGTTTTCAAAATATACCCTGCCAAAAAGTACAGTAAGAATAACTTATTCTGCCAAAATCAAAAACCAGAGCCAATTTGATATCCATCAGCTTCTAATGAAGATAACAGTTCTTTATGAAGCAAACTGGAATTTTTATTGTAAGTATAAACATCAGTCTAGGTTTAAAATACAAATTTTTTTATTTTGAATGGTCATTTTCTAGTTTATAAACTAATGAAATGAATATACAATAATCTCTTAACTCATTGCAATGATCCTTAAGCATTTTTAACTTAACAGCAAAGGGCCTGAAGTCAGAAAATCAAGATTGGAGCATTGTGAAACATAGAAGACAAATTATTTGGAAACACTCTTTAGTATATACACTGCACAGAATTGTATATACTAAAGTTTACCAGGCTCTTTTATCAAGTATACCATTATCAACAAAAGACTAAAGAATTTATTTATCTTAGACTATTATCCAACTGCATTTCTTTAACTATTACTCTATTCCAACATGAGATAATCTAAAATATAATATTTTAATTCAGGCAATTAGAGTTTTTGGAGTTTTTTTTTTAATCTACATTTTCTATATGGAAGAAAACTGTGGCAATCAGTCAATTTTTAAGCTTCTAGGAGACTCAGCTTTTTGGCAAATCTTAATAAGATCTATCTGATTGCTTTCACATTTCAACTTGCATGACTGCAGGCCATCTAACAACTTTGCCCCTTAAGGGTTTTCTTTGGAAGCAAGTGCAAACCCTCAAATTCAAGTTGTACCTTGATTCCTAGAGAGCAACCGCCATAAACTATGTCCTTGATGCCCTGATTCTCTGGTCAGAAGTTCTGACTGCCCGCCTCCTCTACCACCTGGAATTTCCCTTTCTGGAGGGAAATTAAAATTCATGGGTTCCCTAACCTTCTAGGATTTTTTTAGAGTGGAAATTATTGCCTTCATGACATTCTCAAAAATCTCCATGCAAAATTTTTTAAAACAAAAAGCTGCCTTTTTCTTTCATATTGGATTTCCTTAATTCCATCTCATCATTCAGATTCGGAACAAAATAGATTTTCCTGACCTATCTAAACCTTCCATTTTTGTCACTTGTTTTGCATCTGATATCTCTAACCTGTAATTCACAGGTTACTCATTAATTCAACACATACTCTACAGTTTCTACTCTGAACAAAGCTTTACAGTAAATCTGCTTTTTCACATAATTTCATGTAGAGATAATGTTGATATCAAGGGTATGCAATTATTTGTAAAACTAGAGGCCCAGTGCACAAAATTTGTGCATGGGGGAGGGGGAGAGGAGAGCAATGTCTCTCAGCCAGGCCTGCACCCTCTCGCAGTCCAGGAGCCCTTGGGGGATCCTCAGTGCTACATGGAGGTGGAAGAGGCTCCTGCCACTGCTGCTGTGCTCGCCAGCTGTGAGCCCGGCTTCTGGTGCACTAACCACCAGGGGTGCAGCTCCTTCATTGAGCACCTACCCCTTGGTGGTCAGTGGACGTCATTCCACTGTTTGGTCAATTTGCATATTAGCCTTTTATTATATAAGATATAATAAATAATTCACAAAAGGTTTTATTCAGTGCACAGATTTTAAATACTTGAAACATAATAATAGAGCATAATTTTTAATTCAGGAGACCCAAATCTAAATCTAAACTTTATTATTCATTCCTAATGCTAAGTCAAAGGTCTTTTTTTTTTTTTTTTTTTTTTTTTTTTGCTTCTTGTACACCTGGGTTATCTTACTGGGAAAACAATAAGGAAACACACTGTTTTACATAATTCAGAAGAAGTGATTAAATCTTAAAATATAAAACATCAAATTAAAATATGCTGATGTCTATACAAAGCTTTGAGGGAGAGAGTGGGCAATGAACTAGAGATTAGAAGGAGGCTGACTCCCAAAAGGCCATGCTTCTGAAGAAGTCACTTACCCCAATGCTGAGCAAGCCTGCGGACAGGACTGACAGCCTCTCCACCAGGCACTGAAACAAATTCCCTGGCACTAAGCTTATCCCATCTCCTGAATTCCCCACTTGACTTACTTCAAATATTACCTGGGCCTGTTAGGGGCAGTGAGCTTTTCTATTGCAAGCCTTAAAGCCAGGTCCTGGGCTGGCCATGCCATGGAATCCCAGGCCAGACTCTTCCAGAAAAGATGCAACATGAAATGCTGTCCTATCTGAGGCTTTGCTTAAATTTTAGTTTCCCCTTCAAGAACCTTACCTCTGTCTCCTGACTCATGTCAATCCTCATCCTGATGCTTCCATGTTCTCCCTCTAATTGCCCGTGCCTGGCATTGCCCAGTCTTCTAAGCTTTTGCTTCCTTGGTTTTTCCAAGGCTAGCTGTCAGGCAGACCCCAGCCCCTCCCTAGAACAAACCTATCATTCACAGCTGATCTTTGTGACTTCCAAGAGTAAACCATGTCTCACCAGTGTCATCATCCCATTTCTAGGAAGTACCATAGTAGCTGCTTCAAGAAGGAGAATGAAGCATAAAATGAGAATATACAGTAAATGGGTAGACAGGCATTAATCCTTTGGAGAGAGATAGTGTCAAAGGACGCGTGACTTGAATAGAACATAAGAACAAGTGACCGAGAAAAAGAAAGAAACAAAGGAAGGAAGAAAAAAAATGAAAGGAAAATAGAAAATCACTGGGAATACTGTTGGGAATTGAATTTGAAGAAATATTTAAAGGGTAGTATGATTTTTAAACACTTACCAACCCAAAGCTTTTAAATGCTAACATGAAAAACAGAAAATAGTAAAATTTAGTTAAAAAAAATAAAATTGTGTCATTATGATTAGGTCTATCTATTCCAAAAGTAGAAGCAGTCAACAAAATTATCTCATGAAGTTTACCCATTACATAACATTGTAAAATTTGAAGTGGAGGATGTGTAATAGGAGAACCTGGCAATATGGCCAAAATTAATAAAGAATTGTTTAATGCAGCAAGTAATTCAGGAGGGAGTGGAAGAGGAAAGAAGAAAGTAGTGAGTCAGGAAGAGGAGAGACACTGAGAAGATAAGAAAAACTATTTCACTTACCCATGATCCTATTTTGCAATATGCTAACTGTTAAGTAAGAGGAAAGAAAAAGCATATAACATTGCCAACCAACCATATATATACATATATATATTTTAAATAACATTCTAGCTCAATAATTCAGTCAACAAGCAAAGTCACATCAAGTGACTATTTGAAAAAAGGATATGAATGTACCAAAACCTTAATAGCTAATTTTCTAATAGGATTAAAGGGCGTTAAAATGTACAGGGCAGAGGTGGCACTGAACCGAGAGATTGCTTTTCCTTTATTCAATACTATAAACGTCTGAAAAAGAAAAAAAACACACAACAACAAAACACAAAACAGGATTTAGAATATACATCCAGGACATTTGAAGAGAAAGGTGCGACCATTCTCTAGGAACATAGCCTTATAGAATAATGTAGTAACATGCTAATTACCAACATATGATATCACAACAGATGCTTTTTTCTTCCTGAGCACTGTAAATTCTCATAAATCAATACGTGACATGAGGATTTAAAGGAAAAAAAAATTGTAGTCAATGCCATAGGAAGTCTTAGCATCATTATTAAGTTTTGATACCAGTATTTTTTAAACTGTAATTATAATTCATGAAAAACATGAAAGGAAGCTGTGATTACTTCTTCATTAAAAAAAAAGAGAGAGAGAGAATTCACAAGAACTTCGGGGTTTTTCAAGTGCATTTTTGGATAACATTCGTTTTGGGGCACTTGGAAAGGGCAGTCTGTGGCATGAAGGTGTCAACCTGCTGAAAAGCCAAGTACCTTCTTAGAGCTTAATATCATAAAGAGGCACTTAGGCACTGCTCCTGGAGATGCAGGGTGGGGCAAAAGTAGGTTTACAGCTGTGAGTACACCAAACAAAGTTTATTCTTCTATTATCATTTATTAATTATTATATTATTTTCTATACGAGCAACCGTGAACCTACTTTTGCCCCACCTGTATAAAACATGCATATGAAACAATGACTCCTGTTCACTTTTTACTTCACCACACTTTGCCCTTCCTCAGTTCCCACTCTGCAGAACGCCTCTTTAGTTCTCTGCCTGCTCTGAGAACCTAGGTTCAAACGAGAGCTTCCAAAACACTTATAGGATAATGCAGCCATTCCACGCTCAGGCCCACCCGGCATCCTCCGGCTGGCTGACCCAGCGAGGAAGAGGCCCAGTGCTCTTTACCGGACACCCCTGGCCATAGCCCAGAACCGATGAGGAAGTAGGGGAAGCCAAGGGAACTCGGTCCAGAACTCACTTTCTTATTGATATAGTATGGATCCAGGTCCTCCAGGGGCTCTGACACCATCCCTGGAGGGATGTCTCCATAAATAAACGGGAGGTTTTTTCCTGCTTCCAAGTCACTATTTGGCCTTGGGCCATTTTCATCATCCTCATCCTTGTGCTCCTGCTTGGGCCTCTTAGCTTTCTCTTCTGCGATGCGTTGTTCAATAGCAGCAAGGGATTCCCTGGTAAAGAAGCGGAAGCTGTCAGGTCCTGGCGGTACCAGCACTGACTGTGCCATCTTCTCATCCTGCTTTAGTCACTGTTTAGCTCCTTGCATAAGAAAGTGCTATGGAAACAAGAGACAGACGCACACACAAAGAGAAAGCAATGGCCATTAGGGAAAAAGGTGACTGGCAATTGCATGATATTGACACGAAATATACAAATCAAGCCAGATGTCACAATATTTTACTAAGGCAGCTGTATTTGGCACCCAGGGAATTCTCTGCATGTATTCACTTGCTTGCATGGAGATCTACCTTCCATATTCAGTAGATGCCTATGAGGTAATCTTACCTCCCTCTTGCAAAATGTTTTAAGTGGAACTATCCAATTCAGAATTCAGAAATGGAGGATACTGGTTTGTGCTTGCTGTTTCACTTGTGTGAATAATTTGGCAGCCATATTTTTCTTTTCTTTCTTTCTTTCTTTTTTTTTTTTTTTTATAATCCTTTCTGAAAAAATGTCAGAGATCCAAAACAAGAGATGAATCATCACCTAAAATTGTCGAAGCTGGGCTGTTCCAGGGATCATGCACGATTCTCTCCATTTTTTTTTCCTATGCTCCCTTTGGCCTACTTTTTCCACCCCTGAGCCCCTGAGAGCTTATTCAAAAATCCACGCACCTGGTAAAAAGCTCTGGGAATCCCGAAATGCCAGGCTGTGGGCACAGAGGTGGATGCTGCTTGAAAGCAAGGGAGAGGGGAGGAGCAGGGGGTGCCCGGTGGCGTTTGGAGCTGCTCGGAAGCTGCACAGGAAGGGATCCGGCTCCTGCCAAACTGGGCAGGAAGTCACCCGCGTCAGAGGTCTGCAGCTAGGACCCCCGGCTTAGCAACCTGCTGTTAGCCAGTGTAATTGCTTCCTAAGTGAACCAATTTGCAGTGCCTTAGAAAATACTGCGAAGACAGCCCATTTTCTCAAAGAGTGCCCATTTCATAAAATGTACATATTTCTCAAAGAGTGCCCATTTCACAAAATGTACAAGCTTTGGACTTGGAAAAAAACAAACAAACCATAAGTTGAAGAGAGTTTATCCTTTAAGCCAACTCCTATTCGGCTGGACTTTGCAATGCCATACATGAAGTTTTACCGTATTCTAATCACATTTTAGGGGATTAACATGTATAACCCAACAGAGCACACCAAGCATGCCGAATGCAATCTCTCAGTCAGTGGCAGGAGTGTCTATGCTTTTTAAAAATAATACCAACCAAATCTTGACACCGGACTGTCATCAATATATTCAATCATTTATCTAGTCTCCCTTCTTTTTAAAAAATGCCAATCCATTTTAACCCCACTCTACCAGAAAGAGAATTGCCATTTAATTATGAAGTGCATTTTCTAAGAGTAAAATTCATTAATGCCTGGGTAATTTCTGTATCATACGCCAGATAAAACAGAGACATTAAAAATAACATAAGCTACAGTACCGTCTCCACATTTGTTTTTGAAGTAGAGTAGGTAGGACCTTTCAGCCACCAGCTAGCAGACTGCCTTCAGGAGCACAGTGCCTCCAAACACCCCTCATTTTCCTCACCCAGCCCCAGGAACCACTTTGCCTGGAGACAGGCACGGCAGTCCCTCCCCGGAGTATGCAAGCAGAGAACTGCCATGCCTGGACGGTCTAATAAAGGAGACATGCTAACACATGCAGTCAGCAGGTTCAGAATGAAAGTGGTCCTCTGCTGATTCCCCCAAGGATTCTACTGTAAAGATACAGAAGCATCACAGAGAACAAGCATAATAAGAATATGAAAACATTACCCCTGCAGAATCTTTTATACTCAGATTTGGGGATTGATAAACTGGCATCAAGAAGACTGCAGATAAAATTCCATCATGCTTTTTTTCATTTTTTCATTTTTTTTTTAATTCTCCTTCAAAGACCACACCTAACTTCCTGTAAAAGGATTGTGGTAACTGAAGTAAGAACAGGCATTTCCTGTGCAGGGGACTACAAAATGGCATTCTTGTAACGACCACTAGAGGGCGGGGCAACAGTGGAGAGAAACTCCTCAGGGTGTACACACAGGCATGTGTTTGAAGCAGCCCAAAGCTTTCAGTAATGGAAGTCTGATCTTCAATTATTAATTTTGTTAACTAATAATGCTTCTGTTTGTGCTTTTATTTGCCAAGCCAGAAATCATTTAATCAATACGAATAATTCAAATTAAAAGTAAAATGAAAGTAAATAACTTAGGGATAAAAATAAAAGCTCATAAAACAGCAATTACATTAATGGAAGTCTGATATACAGTGTGATTTAACATTAGGCTCAGCCCCAGAGTATCTGAAATCCAATAAAATGCTTTGCTAATTCAACAAAGAGATTGCCTTTGTGTTATACTAGTTAGCTTTCTCTAGAAATAAAAATTAACCTGATCAGATACCAATTTTATTTTATCCCTGATTTAAATTACTGAAACGCAACCAGAAGAAAACTGAACAGCTAGTGGGATCCTAAATGCCAGTCTTTCAACTAATATCAGAGCTAAGATTTGAGGGCTCACTACGTGCCAGTCACTGACTGGGATAAGACACCTGCATGTACTATTTCATTTCATCCTCCCCACAACTCTGCCAGATAAACACTTTCATGGCCTTTATTTGAAACCTGAAGACAAAAAAGCACACCGAGGTTAGGAAAAAGTCACCTAAAATCACACAGGCAGCCGAAACTGGTTTGGCTCAGTGGATAGAGCATAGCCCTGTGGACTGAACGGTCCCAGGATCGATTCCGGTCAAGGGCATGTACCTTGATTGCAGGCACATCCCCGGTAGGGGGTGTGTAGGAGGCAGCTGGTCAATGTTTCTCTCTCATCGATGTTTCTAACTTTCTATTCATCTCTATTAAAAAAAAATCAATGAAATATAATTTTTTAAAAAGATTACACAGGCAGAATTCAAATTCTAAATCTGCTACCAAAAGTGTGTGAACTTAATTCAGTCTTAAAAAGTAACACCTGCACATGCAAACAAAGCCTAAAATAAAATAAAACAGTAACACCTATTATAATCAGAAAAGGTTATGATTATTAAAGTGGTATATTTTGCCCATTTTCTAGCTTAACTACTTTAATTGAGAATATATTTATTGGAAATAAGCGAAGAGAAGATATAGCCCCAAAGAATTTTTAGTCACTATACTAGTCTGTTTTGGTTATAAGAGACAAAAGAATGATTTAAATTGGCTTAAGAGAAAGGGAGCGAGGAATCAAGGAGGAATAAAGTAGGAAGGAAGGAAGGAAGGAAGGAAGGAAGGAAGGAAGGAAGGAAGGAAGGAAGGAAGGAAGGAAGGAAGGAAGGAAGGAAGGAAGGAAGGAAGGAAGGAAGGAGAGAAGGAGTTCATCGGTTCAAGGTTTACTGTCTACAACTAGCTTTAGGCTTGGCATGATTTGAGAGCTCAACTAATGTAACCTGCACCTAGTCATGCTGTATCCTTTGGCTCTGGCTTCTATGGTGATAGCTTTTCTAAAGATTTGTTCCTTATTGTAGTAAGATGTTCTAGCAGCTCCAGCCTCTCAACTTCCCAGACTTAAATCCAAGAGGAACAAAGACCCAGAAAAAGTCGTTGTATCTCACTGACTCCAGTTGGGTCACATGCCCATCCCTGCAGTCATGCTATCCAGGGCAAAGCCATGCTTTGTGCTTTGGTGGCTTTCCCTAAACCACATGCCCACCCTTAGAAACAGGAGGAAACCTCACTGGAAACCTATGGACAGTCAGGTGATGATGGTATAGAAACATCTGTCAAAAGCAGAGTTGGGGTACTATTACTAGAAGAAGGGGGCACTGATGCTAATTAACAAAGGCAAATGAATGAACTCCAGTCAAATATCTGTCATATTTCTAGTGCTCCAATTCTTAGAGAGTAACATTATGACATCAGTATGTGTATGTATATATTCCTCCTATTTCCAAGGGTGGGGCATTTTGCTTAGGGAAAGCCACCAAAGCACAAAGCATGGCTTTGCCCTGGATCGATAGCATGATGACTGCAGGGATGGGCATGTGACCCAACTGGGGTCAGTGAGATACAACGTGGGGTTTTCTGGGTCTTTGTTCCTCTTGGATTTAAGTCTGGGAAGTTGGGAGGCTGGAGCTGCTACAGCATCTTACTACCATAAGGAAAAAAATCTCTCTATATACATTCTGTATATACTTTTTTTTCCCCCCTAGTTCCACTATTTTTATTAATATTCCATGTATGGGACTTAGACACCAGGCGAGATATTTTTTTAAAATTTTTAAATATTTTTATTGATTTCAGCAGGAGGAAGGGGGAGGGAAAGAGAGATAGACACATCCATAAGAGAAAGACATTGATCAGCTTCTTCCTGCATGCCCCCTACTGTGAAACCGAGCCTGAAATCCAGGCTGGGAATCAAACTGGCAGCCCCATGTGCGTGGGATGACACTCAACCAACCAGATGAGCCACACTGCCAGGCCTGTGTGGCAAGATATTTAGAAGATTCCTTCCCCAAAGGAAGCTGTCTTACTCTAATCAAATATTTCACAAATCTCTATGGTAAGCATTAGCTTCACTTATCAAATAAATATGTGACTATTCTGCTGTCTCTTTTCAGACATGCTCAAAAATAAGCTACTTTATACAAAATTATGTATTTCAAAAAATACATTAAGGAGTTCAAATTGTATAGTGATTTGTCAGACATATTTTTGGGGAGGGGAGATTAACCATAATAACAACACGTAGTGCTAACTTTTTTCCTCTGGCCATATTTTAAGAACTATAAAATGATTTATTTTAGCAACTTGATTAATTAGATACCATAATCATCTCCATTTGAAACGTGAGGGAAACTGAGGCACCAAAAAGTTAAATGATTTACAATAAGTGTAAGTTCACAGCTGGAAGTAGTAGAGTCAGAATTAGAACCCATGGTCTTTGGCGACAGAATCCATGTGCCTAACCACTAACTACACAGTGCTTCTCAAGCCTTTTTCCAAGTCATCCCCTTTCAGAAACACACCAAGAGAATGAATATATTTGT